AACCGGGCGTTGAAGGCGCCACTGCACAGCACTCGCGGTAGGCACTCTCACGGCTCGACACTTCTCGAGAAACAGAGCGACTCACTCAGTGCCATTCGGACTGATCTCCTTGTCGTGAATGCGTCGACTGATGCCGCTGATGCTTCTTCTGCTCTCTGCCTGAACCATCTCCATTCCCGATGCTATCCTTCAAGTGATGAACAACGGCAACACTGCCACCATTGCTACTTCTGCTACTTTCTCTTGAAGTGCTGTGTTGCCTTTGCCATCTCACTGAATATTACTGTCGAGTCGTCAAGTGGCTGCCTGTGTGTGTTCTTCGTTTTTACTCTCACTCCCTGTCTTCATATGTTCATCTTTGTGTTTGTGTTGATCTGTGTGTTGCTGTCGATAGTGTGTCAAAGTGGTCGTTTCCAAGGATTTTCGTAATTATTTACTTTCAAAAGTGCGTGTTAGGTATGCTGAGACGCCATAGTTTGTCAGCTAACAAATTATCAGTTGTCAGTAATTTAACTGTTGAACAGTTGTGGCTGATTTATCTGTGCTAACATCTCTTCAATTTTCAATCGTTAATCCTCATTTTGCTGTGCAGCAAAATATTGTCACACTTTCTAACAGTTGTGCATTTGCATTTTCTTCAACTTAACTATGGTTTCCCCATTTGATCAGTCTGTGCTGTCATTGTTTCTGAAACGTGCTTTTTGTCATAACGCACAGGACACGTGAACCTCGTGGTAGACTCTGAAGAGAATGTGAGTGTGTGTGATCTGACCACAACACCACCAGTGTGACATTGACAGTGTCACCACCATCACCACCACCACTGCCGCCATCACCATCACACTACCAATTGTTCTGTTTGTCGGCAGTGTTTGCGCAGACTACGTGTTTTGCATCTCTGATGTTTCTGATGTGGTAGTAAGTGAAATAATTTAAAACAATTATTGTTTGCAATTTAAAATGTACTTTTGAAGAGAATGTACTTTGCATCAAAAGCAAAAATGTTTTTCTGTTGTCCACTGTTTTTATTTAGTTTTTAAAATATAGCAAATCGATTGCTATTTAACGATCAATATTGGTTTGTGTTTGCTTGTGTCTACACTACATTCATTGTTGTTAAGGGTGTACACTGTACAGTTTACAGTAGCACCAACTTAATGACTGCCGCTGTCAAAACTGCAAACTTAAAACCGTTTTTGTGAGTTTTTTACTATTTGACATATCGAATAGCAAATAAAGTGATTTATGCTAGCTTGACAAATTTGCCATAATACATTTTTTCAAAAAAGTGAAAAAACTATTTGAGACTTTTTGCACACATTTTTATTTCAATATTTGTTTTTTGGCACTATGAGTATTTCCGCATAAAGAAGCACATAAAACCATTTAGAATTATGCAAAGATCAAAGGTCAATTGCGGTGGTAGTGGCGGCATCAGCAGTGAGAGAGTAATTGAGAGCATAGTTAGAGTTGGCACATTCAAAGGCGCCAGCAGAAAGAAGATGAATGAAGAACATTAGAGGCAGAAACAAGATGACGCCATCTTTGATGGTTGAATCAAAACTTTAACCACCGACACTTTTCACTTTTCAGTAAAGTTCTTTCAGCAATTGAAGGAGCCGCAATTCTTTGCCAGTCGGTGGCGGCGGCGGCAGTTTGCGCGCCTGCTGAGTGCTAGTGTAAAGCAGACCGACTGAAGCCGCATCTGAGGCTGCTAACTATCCGAGCTAAGGCAGGAAAAGTCACAACACAACAGTATTTTTTTCTCTCTCACTTGCGCATTGATTTGAAGTGAAAAAAATTAAAAATGGAAACTGTGACACAATCGGAGAAAGTCATTTATTACCAGTGGGTGCCCCACTCGAGATGACAATCAGACGCTCTACACTCGCGCACACAGTCACTCTCACTGTCTGCTGCGAAGTGTCTACATGTGTTGCGCTCGTGTTCTCTGTCTGTGTTTTAGTGTGAAAAACTCGAAAACTTTTAAAACAGTTAGTTTTACAAAAAGCAAGCAGACCATCGGTCAGATCAGTGAAGCTGATTAGCAATCTAGGCGCCACCATTTCTGTGTTTTGTATTCAGGCAACTCGCTCAATTAAGGCTCACAAGAGCTGGTGGTAGTTGAATTTTTCGATAAAGCAAACTTTGGGCCACACTTTGGCGACAGTAGTGAGCAAACACTGAGAGAGGGAGGGAGAAAGCGAAACAAACTTTACTTAAAATTTTACCGACATAAAAGCAAACATAAGCTGTTTGGCTACTGTTGAGGAAAGTGGTCTTCCAAAATTGAGAGTCGCACTTAGATCTGCACACACACACTTGGGCAAGTTTAGTGCACCGAACAGTAGTCCGCTCACGCCTCGCTCTCTGCTAACACACTTTAAACTGTGTCACAACTACTCAAGTGCGATAATCTTCTACTCAATGCAAACTTTGATTTGTCACTGACAAAAAAGTTTTACACTTTCACTTGATTGTGATGTTTTATCGTTTAGAGTCTAACTCGCTGAATCACTTGTCATCTGTCAAATGTGCTGTCCAAGTGTTGCTGTTTGAGCGCAAAACAAAAGTCGGCAAGAGGTGTTGCAACACCAACTGCTAAAATCGACTGAGGACTTACTGCATTTATCTGTCTACTGTACACTGCCCGAAAAGCTGAGATTTTGGTTGCACGCGCTTTCAGGACCCACTTGAATGGCTCTTGTAACCGCACAATCACAATTTTTTTTAAATTACTTTGGGCCCAACTCGGCAGTTCAGCCACCAGCACCACCGCCACCGGTAATCCCCCTCTTGAAGGCGGCTAACCGGTTACCCCCACCACCAACTCGTTGCTGTTCAACACACACAGTGCCTAATTTAAGAGGAAGGCAGGGCAGCAGCCAATCACTGGTCACAGTGACTGGTTGCTGAAGTGCCTGGTGAATTTGCCCCTTTCCTCACTTTCCAAGCACTTATGCAAATGAAGAATAGCAACGGTGGCGGCAGCAGCAGCAGCGAGCGGTAGTGGGGCGACGGCGGCAGTATTCAGTGAAAGGGAAGAAGGCAGATGCTGGCTGGCGTGGAGGACAATAGGCGCCTGATAGCGCCGTAGACCTATATCGAGAGGAGAATGGCTTCCCTCAGAGTCGATCGAGCATTGCGCCCTGTGCCTTCTTCTTCTTCCTCTCGCCGTTCTTCTCACCGCTGCCAAACCAGTAGTCAGTGCCTGGTGCCTAGTGCGCGCGCCTGATGCTTTCTCCTGCTCTCTCTCTCTCTCTCTCTCTCTCTCTCTCTCTCTCTCTCTCTCTCTCTNCTCTGACTCTCTTCAGTGAGCAGCACTAGTATTGGCGCACAATTGCCCTTACTGCCAGAGATGATGTATTTGCGAGGTGGGCAGAACACAGTGAGAGAGTACACTGGCTGCTGTTTCTGCTGGCTGTCGACAGCTTCACTTAAAAATTCAATTACCACTGTGGTAGTGCTGGCAGTTGTGGTGGTGGTGCAACTGAGGGCTCCGGCATTAGTAGCATCATAGCCGATGGGAAGGCATTGCTAACCAGTTATGGCCGACTGACTGCCTCCTCTAAAGCGGCATAGTACCAATCACTAATCTTTAGAGGCAGAAACGTTTCTTGCTCTACTTTCCACAAACAAAATCTCTCACAGTTTTTCAACTTCCTCAGCTTGGCTGTTTCTTCTAATTGTCTTTCGGTTTGAACAGTTTAAAAGGCAGTATTCAGTTTTTGGCGTTCAAAGAAACTTCAGTAGAAGCAATTTTGCTTAGTCAAAGTAATATTCAGTCTGAATTTGTTTGAACTTTCTTGTCCACTAACATAAAATAGAACTCTTATTTTGACCATTATTAACATTCATTTTTCATTAAAACAGATGGACGCCTCTGGCAGTCTTTCCTCGGAAGATTACATGCCAGAGCTATCAAACCTTGACTTGAACAACTTTGACGACAACTCCCTGGAAAAGGCGGTCACAAAAATGGACCCACTGGGCAACGGCATTCTCAATGGTTGTTCTGGTCAACAGCAGCAGCAAGCAGGCATGCAGAACACTACGATGTGCAATAACACTTCCCTTAACGGGCAGACACTGGCAGAGCACCAGCGAAAGCTAGGCACTCATTTGCGTCTTTCACCGGTGGACACCAACGGAAGCCAGTCTTCTGCTATGCAACAGCAGCAGCAACAACAGCAACCACCGACCCCTTCTGCTTTCAGCGTCCTACCGCCAAACAGCATGAACCACTCAAGCATTCCCCTCCCCTCCTCCCTTGACCCTAACAATCGCATGAACGCCTTCATCGACGACCCCACCACTGGCCCCTATCCGATGAGCTGGCTGACGGCCAACTTCTCTCGACCGACGGCCAACGGTCACCCGCACCACCCGCACCATCCGCATCACCCTCATCACGCGCACTCCTTCCTGCACGGCGCTGAGGTGCCACTTGACCTGAGAGACCAACGCCCCGGTGGACCAGTGGACGGCAACGGACTGGTGGACGGAAGTGGTGGCATGAGCCCGTGGATGTCGCCCGGGGTGATGAAGACGCGTGAGTACCTGCACGACGGCGGCTACTCCATGAGCCCGGCCATGGTCACCAGTGGCATACATTCTCGACTGACCAGGCACGGTGCGGCAGCGGCTG